GACTATCGACTTACAAGAAGGTAGTGACTCCAAATCGCGATGATAAACAAAATACGACGGCCAAAGCGCGATCCCGGAGGCTGTACACGACGATGCTGACGAAGTTTGACTGCGTGGTAATGGACGACGAAACCTACGTCAAAGCCGACTACAAGCAGCTTCCGGGACAGGAGTTTTATACGGCAAAAGGAAGGGGAAAGGTAGCAGATGTTTTCAAGCACATGAAACTGTCAAAGTTCGCAAAGAAATATCTGGTTTGGCAAGCCATCTGTACCTGTGGCTTGAAAAGCAGCATTTTCATAGCTTCCGGGACTGTCAACCAAGAAATTTACGTGAAAGAGTGTTTGAATAAACGTCTGCTGCCTTTCCTGAAGAAACACGGTTTTTCCGTACTGTTTTGGCCGGATTTGGCATCTTGCCATTACGGTAAAAAGGCCATGGAGTGGTACGCCGCCAACAACGTGCAGGTGGTTCCCAAGGACAAGAACCCTCCCAACACGCCAGAGCTCCGCCCAATTGAGAAATACTGGGCTATTGTCAAGCGGAACCTAAAGAAGACCAAAAAAACTGCTAAGGGCGAGCAGCAGTTCAAGGCAAACTGGCTTTCTGCGGCGAAGAAGGTGGACAAGGTGGCTGTACAAAATCTGATGACAGGGGTCAAGCGTAAGGCCCGGCAATTCGGATTTGGAAAAGCGGAAGCCTAACTGAATATTTTTCCTGAATTTTATACTAATTGAACTTGAAAAAGAAATTTAATTTGATTTTTTAAATAAACGATTTCACCGATTTACACGCGTTTTCCCTTGACCAAATTTTGACCGTATCACCCTTTAATCATCTAAGCTATATTCGTTCGACTAAAGAAAAAGATGTCTTCCTCGATGGAAGTACGCACACGCGTAACCCAAATAGGTATCGATATGGTTCTTCATGTTGATTGACATAGCTGTTATTTGATTTCGGCGATCTGGTCATGAAAGGTTTCAATTCTGTATCTTCGCTCTAGAGGCTTGACCTACGTCCGAGTGTTTAACCCATACGTCCTTGATAAATGATAAACATGTCTGATGAAACTATGACTACTGGTATACATGTATATTATAGTATAAATATATAGACGCCCTAAGCCAGGAGTCTTCTCAACTTGCTTTCTGAAGACTTTCCTCCGGATATTTTGAAAGAACCGTTTCAGCTTCAGCTGCAGCTGATTGATTTTGTGTGCATTCAGATTAAGTGGTGGTTTTTACGTTTTCTCCGTGGACGAATCCCATGGAATAAAAAAAAAGAAGTTATTAACACATTAATGTCTGCACTTATAGAGATGGATTATTACTGTTCGATATGATGACAAAACTTAGCAGCAAACAGCTGCCCAGAATAAAAGTCTTCCGCGTTGGGCCTTTGCACCACTGAAGGTGTTCAGTCTCGCTACGAACAATTTTACCGATTCTTCTCTGGAATAAACGCGTAACATGTAATATGGTTTGAGCTTAATTTATTTACCTGTAAATGGAGAATAACATCCTCGTGGTTTATCCGATGTTGCAGCTGATCGTTTTCATTTAAGTACAAAATATATACGGGCAGCCAATTTAAAATCATGGTTCGTTCATTTGAATTGTTTCATGTCTGCTGATAAATTACTTCATAATAATATCACTACTACATTAAAATAAAACATCACTTCAAGCGTCAAACTCCTTACAGAATTTTAAACAACGAACGTTTTTCGCTACGTACTTACACTAAAATGTATTTTCCTAGAGAAATACCTATACTCGTACCAATCGTTGTTCTGCCATCTACCTTGAAATCAATTGTAATCTCATGCATCTTTTACAGCATCGAAAAAGTGGATGCAGCAAATCCAACGAAAAGCAGAAAAAAAATCTGACAAAAATACACTGATCTAAAAAAAGAGGGTAATCTTGTCTGCCATCTACTTGCTATTTTAGATGTGTCGCACCCCTCGGTGTCGCCCCCCTCGGTCGAGACTTCCTGCTCTTCTAGCAAAATGATTGATCTTCCGTTTTGCTGGATAATCAGTAATACCAACAATCAATACGAAACTAACGATTTGAAATTGGCTAGCCTATTGGTCCCAAGCAAACGATTAACGTACCCCATTCTAATCAAAATTCTACTACTACACAATGTTTGTTTTGATTCGCTATGAAAGTTTGACAGATAAAATGAGGGGTTAGTGGATTTTCCTATGTTTCGAGGGGTGAATCGATTAGCTTGGGACCGAAGAGAGTACCAGAGCTGAGCCAAAATGTTGAGCCCGTTATTTCGGGACCTTCTAGTCTTAGAGTTACCTCTATGGTAATACCATAGAGGTAACTCTAAGACCACTGGGTCCCGAAGAAAATCATTATTATTTTTGGCTCACTCAGTACCAGAACAACGGTCCCAAGCAGTCCCAAGCTATTTCACTCACCCCTGCATGTTCTGCATGAATCCACACACCCCTGATGTTATCTGTCAAACTTTCATAGCGAATCAAAACAAACATAGTGTAGTAATAGAATTTCAACTAGAATAGGGTACGTTAATCGTTTGCTTGGGACCAATAGGCTACTAAAGTGGTGAGCCAATTTAAAATCGTTAGTTTCGTATTGATTGTTGGTAATACCATAGAGGTAACTCTAAGACCACTGGGTCCCGAAGAAAATCATTATTATTTTTGGCTCACTCAGTACCAGAACAACGGTCCCAAGCAGTCCCAAGCTATTTCACTCACCCCTGCATGTTCTGCATGAATCCACACACCCCTGATGTTATCTGTCAAACTTTCATAGCGAATCAAAACAAACATAGTGTAGTAATAGAATTTCAACTAGAATAGGGTACGTTAATCGTTTGCTTGGGACCAATAGGCTACTAAAGTGGTGAGCCAATTTAAAATCGTTAGTTTCGTATTGATTGTTGGCATAACTGCCTTGCATTTGAACTGATTGCAATTGCCACTGGTGGCCGTACCGTGCCGCGTTTTGAGGGTGAGGGAGTTGAATGAGTTTCCTGATAGTAGCCGAAAGATTTATGTGAAATCAACTTGATTTTCAACTTTTAGTCATTGAAACCAGTCAGAATAAGAAGGAAGATATTAATCTGTTCTGTAATAATAATTAATTTCAAACCATTGATATACCCAATACAAAGATGTACTTCAAAAACGTAGCTTATTTTTTCTCATTTCGTGTAAAATAATCTTAAAATAAAATAAATGAATTTATTTCGAGGTTAACACAGCGATTCCGAGGTTAACACAAAGCGGATATGTTGGTTCATCATGTTCAGGCTTAATAATAAGCCTTAACCATGAGAGCATCGAAGGTTCCAATTCCCAGAAAATGTGATTTACTTCTACAATAAACTCATTCGGCGGAAATCTAGGAAATGTGGCTTTCCGGATGCCATAAGTACGGATGGTGCGGAAAGCTTTCACAACTTCGTATTCAGCTTCAATCAGCGTAAATTTCTGAAGTTATCGTCCCACGGTCAAGATCCTAATGAACGAAAAATCCATCTGGTTCACCTGCCATTCAAAGGAAGAATAAGGAGCTATTTGAAAAGTTATTGGGCCTTATTACGGTGATAAGGAAGTGATACTCATAATAAGAGTCGTGATTGACGTTTTTGGATAGACAAATTTGTTTAGAGGATTTGCTTTCAAATGCACTTTCTTTTACAATAACTTTCCAAATAGCTCCTTATTCTTCCTTTGAATGTTTGGCAATGTAGTATTCCTTTAATCAAAACGGTCTCCTCTTCGATTCCTACACAAATGGATTAAATTTAAATAAAAGTTGAATTTTTAAATATGCACACACAAAACACCAGATGACACCGGGTAAATAAACAATGAAATCTGTCTAGCAACGGTGGTAAAAAATTAGAGCTAAATATTTCTTAAGTATTTTTAAGTATTTTCAGGTATCTTAGATATCAGTAAGAACTTTCTGAGTATAATGCGAGAAATACAAAGTTTAGAGTGGGATGCCCCTAGGTTTTTCCTATGTTTCGAGGGGTGAATCGACTAGCTTGGGACCGAAGAGAGTACCAGAGCTGAGCCAAAAAGTTGAGCACGTTATTTCGGGACCTTCTAGTCTTAGAGTTACCTCTATGGTAATTTGCTGTCAATTTGGCAGTGGACTAAAGTGCTGGTCGTCCAGCAAAAATATTTTGCTGGATGGATTGCTGAACTTTCAGCTCGGAAAAATCCAGCAAAATATTGCTGATTTGTGTAGGAAAAAAATGAGTGTGTAGGAAGAGGAAAATATTTTCACCTTTCCTGCTTAATTTATCCACCGCATGTGCTTGAAACCATCATCCACGTGGAATATTTTGTTTTATGTATCGGGTTTGCAGTGATCCGGCTGGTGCTTCTATATATTTTTGATTAGATAAAATCAGATTTATTAAATTGTTCGAGCGGTTATGATCTTCCGGATTTTAATGTGTTGTTAGTTCAGCTGTAAATCAGTTCAGATCGGTACATGAAGATAATCGAAAAATAAGATCACTCCCTTTGGATATTTGCAAGTTGTGCATTAAAATGTACATTATTGTGCGTTTTGAAAATCGTCTCTATGATGTAAACAAATGGATTGGATGACATTTCCTCTCAAAATCGACTAGCGCACACTACATTGATGGTGCATGAACAGAGCCTATGGCGATTACCTGAAGTTTTGCTTCAGTCCAAGAAAAAAAATAGTTTAACAGACTTTTCAAAATTGATTCGGAAGCTCACATCCAGACACTACCGCTACTCAACGCATCTCTCACAACCAGATGGCATCGCGAGCTCCCATTCTAGTACGGCATTATTAACTGCCCATCAGCTCCCGGACTCTCGCTTCACAAAACGTCATATTTTCACTAATTTCGTTTTGTGCTGACTGTTCGTCAATCATTTTATCTTCTCTTGTCATCCCGCGTTGACATTATTTTGTCTCACATTCGTTCCTGCCCACTACCCGCAGCAGTTCGTCTCGTGTTCATCACTCTCATTCAGTTCTTCGATTCGCGACGGAACGCAGCTCGTTTTTGTATAGTAAAGTCGACGACGAGTTTGTAGTAAATCGGTACTTCTGAGGAGTTTTCTGCTGCTGTTGCTGGTGTTGTGTGTGTAGACAAATTTTTCGCACTACTGCACTCCGTACTCGTCGGTCGTCGTGCTATTTTCGCGTTTGGGGATTGAACGAGAAAAAAGATGGAAGTTCTCTAGCGATCCGTCGTCGCGGATTTTGTTGTGCGTCTCAGGTTCTGTGTTTGTGTGTCTATTTTCGAAGCTCGTGCAGAAAAGATCCTGGAATCGGTCGTGAATCTGAAGAAAAGTGATCTGGTCCTTACCATTCCGATTCCACCAGTTTTTGTGAGTGGTGATCAAAGAATCACGAAAAGAGAAAAATGCCAATAAAGGAGGGGTTCTGATGTAAAACAAAAGGCAAGAAGCTTTAAGTGGTGGAAAATCATCCCGAAAATAGTGCGACCCTTGTCCCGGATAGCAGAGAAAGGAGATTACAAATTACGCGAAGGCGCAGTGGTTTACGCCCCATTTTTTTTGTTCGCATCGTGTCCTCCCACGGAAGAAAATATTAATAATCATCAACAGAGCCAGTTATCGGAGGAAGTGTCATGAACTCCCGAATAAAGTGAGTGTTTTGGTCCATTATCCAATATATTTAGGACACCAAGCAAACAAACTACTACTGTAGACGTTGTATTGGCTAGGCTGGGTGCTTGTACTTCATGGATATTGAAGGAAGCGCTGATAAAAAAAGAATGGCATCCAGCAGCCTCCACTAGTTGGTGGATATTCCAGGGAGAGTGTAATTAAAAAAAAATGATGATGATGAATGATGTTTACGGGTGAGAGAAGAGAGAGAGGATTAGGGGGTGTGAAACGCGAACGACACAATCAGCAAAAGCAGCAGAACGACTGACTGAAAGCGAAAGACCTTGAGCAGTGTACTACGGTGGCAGTGATGCCAGTTTGATGGAATTATTCGACTAATATTATATGATTTCATAATGCTATGTTCAGACTGAGGATTTATATGGTGTAATACCCCGGACAGACTATGGCTTATATCATGTAATATAGGCTGGCTTGCAATGAGCACTCATACATCTAGTTTTCACTGGAAATCCTATATATGAGTGCTCATTGCAAGCCAGCCTATATTACATGATATAAGCCACAGTCTGTCCGGGGTATAAGGGTATCTTGATGACATTTTTCTTATAGATTCGACTTCTGTTATTTACCTTTTACGTTAGGCAAAGTGGTTCGCGCATACCTCAAGCTTATATAAACGCCTCGGTGTCTCTGGTAGAATATCGTTATTTAAAAACATATTTTTTGTGATTCATACATTAAAGTTCAATGGGCTTCTCCCCAGAACGCAATTGAATTCGTTCAAATTTGGCACAGTTGTTGAGTAGCGTAAAACGGGGTGAAGTTGATCACTACAGCGTTCAATTTTCGTGTCTCATCAATTCCTTTCTATGATATTGTTGCAAGACAATTTGTTAACTGTTTTATTTAATAGTACTTTTAAAACGTTTTCCCTAATAAACGATGCATTCTTCCGCTTTAAATTAACAATTTTGTGAAAGTGTTAACATACGCAGCTTTTAACTGCTCCTCAATATGCGATCATAAGCAGTATTTTTTCTGGTGCTGTGTTCCTTTTTATTTCTAGATAGAGCTGGAATTAAGGCGTAACAGATTTATAAACAATGATGTCTATCGACGATTTCTAGGAACTCAAGGCACGCCCACGCAATCCAACATAACCGTCGGAGAGGGGAAGTCTTCCTCTACCCGATGGTGTTGTTGATTTGCGTTGGCGAGCCTTAACTTTTTTTAGAAATCATCGAAATCAGTCATTGTTTACAAAAGCCTTTACGCCCTAATTCCAGCTCTATCTAGATTTATTTATTTATTTGTCAGCATCAACAAATCATATAATGATGGTTTAACTTAAAGTTAAAATTAAAGTCATAAGTTAAAACTACAAAACATTAAAACATGATCATTGACGATTTACAATTCTACTGAAGAATTTAAAAAAAAAACGTCTCCGAGTGTTTGTCGTGGATGGTGAAAATCGAATACTGATGAAACTTGGTTAAATACTTGCTGCGAAAAACAGAAGATAACTTTCGACGACAAATTATGCGACGTAGAGGCAGTCTTAGGATAAGGTTGTTACGAAGTGGTCGGGGTTGAACATTCAGGTCAATTTGCCTCAGGATAGCCTCGCAATCTGTCCTTCTTTGCAGGATATCGGCCACGGTTAGGGCTCTGCTTGTGTCTCTTCTAGTCCGGAAAAGTTCAAGGTCGATAATTTGACACTGGCTTTCGTAACTGGGTAATCTAAACGGATCATTCCAAAGCAATCTACGCAACGCAAAACGAAGAAAGCGACGTTGAACAGATTCAATTCTCTCTGCACCGTTGTTGTAGTTTGGGTTCCAAACCGCAAGCGTTAATCGGACAAGCGAACAATAGAGAGATTTTAGACAGTAGATATCGGTGAAATTTTTAGCTATCCTAAAAATGAAGCCTAAAGTATTTGACGCCTTATCGACAACATATCAAGACCCACATGTGAAAAGGGCATACAAGCTTTTTGTAAACAAACCTTTGTTGGCCCACTTCTCGCCAACCGAGGGTCACCCACGCAAACTAATAACATCATCAGGAAGGGAAAAGCTTCCCCTATCCAGTGACGTTGATGGTTTGCGTTAATGTCATATGGGTGGCGAGAAAAGGGCATAAGAAGGTTTGTTTACAAAAAGCTTGTATGCCCTTTTCACATGTTGTTCTTGATATGCAATGTGTTGATTGAATGAATCATGAGTCTACCACCTTGCCTCTACAAGCAAGTACAATCAATATATTGACTATTCACTGCCTGATACCAAGGTTGCAAAGACTCATTTCAGCTAAAACAATGTTTTTCTAAATTATGAAATAATTAGATGCCATGATCAAATTTTGAATTGGTAGGATACAAGAAGAGGTTGCAAAGAATGTGATTGACATATTAAACCTGTTTATTTCACTTCATCAGCGATTTTTCACAAACTCACTCACTCACTCACTCACTCACTCAGCGATCAGCAAATCGCTGATTGTGACTCATAGAAAGCAAAATTTACAGGTTTTATGTTTCCAACGCATACTTTGTAACCTCTTCTTGAAAGTTACAAGTAAAACATGCCATCATACCATCTTTTGGTTTTATTATTCCGAAAAACATTATTTTAGCTGAAATGAGTCTTTGCAACCTTGCCTGATACCGATCAAATTTTCAGCAATTCTGACTATGTTAGTCATTGTGATGATGCCTCTGTAACTGCCAATCCTGGAAACCCAGAACGCGCCGTAGAAAGCCCTATGGAAACCCCCAATCCCTCCGTCTCAGTCCTGCCATCAGCAGCCTTCGTTCATCATAGTGGTTCCGGACCTGCTGTCGGATGTAGAGAGGGGGTATTCCAACCCACTCACTATGGCGAGTATCCAATGAGACTTGATGATGGTCAGTTATTGCCTGATGTATCTGTGATTTTCAGGGAGAGCAGTCGTTCGATTCCTTGCCGCAAGCAGGACGTCGTGATCTTCTACCAAAACGCCGGTGGAATGAATTCTGATGTTGAAGAGTACCGCTTAGCTGTATCGGACCGTTGCTACGATATAATTGTCCTGTGCGAAACGTAATCGAGCCACGTTTCAAGTCAAGTCTTCGGTCCCGATTACGAGGTCTTTCGTTGCGATCGGAATCCTAACAACAGCCGTAAATCTACTAGTGGAGGTGTCCTTGTAGCTGTCCGTAGCGGGTTGGAGGCAAAGGCCATCGAGAACGATTCATGGAACTATGTGGAGCAGGTTTGGACAGCCATCAATCTGGGTGATCGCACACTATTTCTATGCGCTCTGTACATTCAACTTGATCGAGTCCGCGACTATGATTTTTGACAGTTGATGAGATATTCATTTTTGGTGACTTCAATCTGCCAGACGTTTCGTGGAGTCCATCTCATAGCGGATTCCTGTACCAAGATCCTGATAGCTCTACATTTCACGCAGGAGCTATTAACCTTCTTGACAACTACAGCGCAGCGACGCTTTCTCAAATTAACCATGTAGTTAACGAAAATGGTCGTAGTTTGGACCTCTGCTTCGTGAGCACACAGGACAGGGCTCCATCAATTTCCTCGGCTCCTTGTGCACTAACTAAGCTAGTTCCACATCACCCTCCTCTAATTGTCACTTTTAAGGACAAACTCGTGCGTGATTTCGACGACTATCCTGCTACGGTTTCTTATGACTTCCGTAAAGCTGACCACCGTAGCATCATAGATGTATTGTCTAGCATGGTATGGGAGAACAGCCTTGATCCAGATGACGTTGAGGCTGCAGCGCAAACCTTTTTACATGTCTTGGCATATATGATATGTCATTGACAGACACTACCCGAAAAGAACTCACCATAAAGTGTCTCACCCTCCCTGGCAGACGAGAGAGCTAAGTAGGTTGAAGTCAATCAAGAGAGCAGCATTGAGAAGATTTACGAAGTATCGCACGCTTCCTCTGACTACATTATGTGAGGCTGAATCACATGTACCAGCGAGTCAGTCGTGAATGCTTTTCAAGTTTCCAACGAGGCATCCAGCGCAAACTTAAGCTACACCCGAAATCCTTTTGGAACTACGTGAACGAGCAACGCAGGGAATCCGGCCTCCCATCGTCTATGGAATTCAACGGAGAAGTTGCTGCCACCGTTCAGGATATATGCCACCTTTTTCCGAAAAGTTTGCCAGTGTATTCACTAATGAGATACTAACTGACGACCATATTAACCTGGCTGCCAGGAGCATTCCAGTAAATGATCAAACGCTGGGTGCAATTTATGTTAATGCAGAAATGATTTTAAAGGCCGCGACTCTGCTCAAGTCATCCTTCAATCCTGGACCTGATGGAGTGCCATCTGTATTTTTGAAGATACATATTGCTAGCTTGTTAATTCCGCTTCTTCGCCTGTTCCGAATGTCTCTTTCCAGTGGCATATTTCCATCTTGCTGGAAATTTGCGCACATGTTTCCCGTCCAAAAAAAGGAAGGAAACGAGCTGTTGATAACTATCGAGGAATTACATCGTTAGCTAAATATTATCGGTTGTTGTTTTCGTGAGAACGTAATAGCGGAGCATTTGGTTGGGTTCACTACCCTTCTGTTTAAACTGCACCAACTAGCGAATACATTGAGCTGACGTTGAAGAAAGTTACAGTCAGCAATTGAGCAGATTCGTAGGAAGATTTTGAGGTCATCTGCATATGATAACCGATGAGCTTCGATGACCAGATGCACGTCGTTGAAGTACAGTATAAAAATCAACGGTCCCATGTGGCTTTCCTGAGGTATACCTGATGTGGCGAAGAAGCTAGCTGATCTGCAATCTCCTATGGCAACCTTTAGTTGGCGACCGGTAAGATATGATCGAAGAGAAGAAGATTACCGCATACACCAAGCCGGCCGAGTTTAGCAATCGCAATAGCATGGTTCAACTTGTCGAATGCTGCGAATAGGTCTGCATAAATAACTGAACCCGTTCCCACAGATAAAGCAGAAGATAAAGCCCAAT